CGAACCAAATCATCGTATGTTGCTGTTGTTGTTTTGTGCCTCAAATCAGAACAGACTCACAGCTGACACTCCAGCAGGTTTTCAGATGCTGTAAATTGCACAGAAAAGGAGATTGTCTATCTTTTCTTTCGAGGAGAAGCTGGAGGATTCAAACTGCATGCCTTTCGGATGGTTGTGCAACTCCTTACCACTGGACCACCAGAGCTCCCTAAAGAATGGTATTGTCATGGGACCATCACAAATTCAATAAATTTATACCTTTTTGACATGGAAAGAAATTTATAACAAACTTAGTTTAAAACCCTCATTATTATCCAGTAAGAACTGACTCATAGCTGATCGTCCAGTGGTTTCTCAAAGGCTGTAAATATCCTCATGACAGATTCAAACCACCAGAGAGACATGGCCTTTAGATTAGCAGGTGGAATTCTCTGTGGATAACGCCACCAGAATTCCCTACTTAGTTAAAAAGCAGGCCGCGAATAACAACTGCAGACCTTCTGGTCACCAGGGCTCCTTAACAGCTGGCTAACGCAGTCTAAACATGCTTCTCACAATGCTACTTGTAGAGTTTTCTAAGGTCTGTTATTTCAGACCAGTCCTGCTTCTTACTCTGTCTTACTCTAGAAGTTCCACCAGGGGTAATACTCCTGGTATTTGAAATCCCAGTAATATAGCTTCTAGCATCATGATGTTGTTTTTAGGTGCCATTGAGTTGAGTACAACTCATAGGGACCCTATTAATAACTGATCTGAACCCTGTCCTATCCTGTGCCATCCTCACAATTTCTCACACACTCAAGCCCATTGCTGTAGTCGCCTTGTCAACCCACCAGGTTGAGGATCTTTCCTTCACTGCCCCTCCACCTTCCCTGGCATGATGCCCCCTCTTTAAGGAATAGCCTCTCCAAGCAATGAGCCCAAGTATGTGAGACAAAGCTTTATCATCTTTACCTCCAAAGAACACTTTGGCTGCACCCTCTCAAAGACATACTGTTCCTTTGGCAGTCCGTGGGATCTTTGGCACTTTTCTACATCACCGTAGTTCAAAAGCAGCCCTTGGTCCAAGTGTGGTGTTCTAGCACACAGGATCCTGCCAAAGCATTGCCCTCACCCTCACTAACAGCTATTTATCCTGATGTACCAGCCATACGCCACAGCTGGAAGGCTCCAGCACCCAGTAGCCACAGGAATACGGTCCTGGAGCAGAAGCTCAGAGACAAGGAACTTCCTCTAAAATCATCAAAGAGAAAAAAACTGGTACCCGGAGCCAGTACGTGGCACTTGGACATGGAGCCTCCTAAACTGTGAGCCTTATCTGTCAGTTTGTTGTACTGGGGAATTGGTTTGCGTATTGCTAATCGCTTTGTAATTTGGATATCTGTATTCTTGCTTGTTTACCAGTGTTCTAATTAGTGCAGCGCTTGTCTTGCCCAGCATCATAGCAACATGCAAATCACAAAGTACAGTGCCTGACAAAGAAGTACTGAGCCCATAGGAGCAAACTATAAACAAACAGATGCATCCACAAGCTATAAAATAAACCACAACACACAAGTCATGCAAATCTGTCTTGGAGAACGTGCAACCAGGTGCTCTCTAGAGACAAAGATGGGGAAACTTCATCTCACATAACCTGGGCATGCTATCAGGAGGGGCCAGTCCTCGGAAAAAGACATCATGCTGGAAAAGGCAGAGGATCAGAAAAGCAAGGAAGACCCTCAACAAGATGGATTGACATAGTGACTACAACAATGGGTTTGTGCACATCAAAGATTTTGAGGGTGGCTCAGGATAGGGCAGGATTCAGATCAGTTGTTCACAGGGTCGCCAGAAGTCAAAGTCAACTTGGTGGCACCTAACAACAACAACACAGCCTAAATCAAAGTACAAATTTGAATCGGCGACTTTAAAAAATACATAGACATTGACAAGTGGATGAGGTGCCTTATGGCTATTATTTTAGGCCCTCTCTTCTTTGTTGACAAAGATATTGTCAAGTGTTTGCCTGACTAGCTCATGGATATGACATGTCTCTTATATTTTGGAAGAAAATGAGCAGATTTTCCCGTTTTCTTGATCACTCCCCACTCTCTCTGTAACTTCCCTGAACTTTTCCTTATCTGGCCTTGCAGAACCTGGATGGTGTAAATGGTTAAAGTACTTGATTGTTAAGTGCAAAGTTAGCAGTTTCAGTACACCCAGAGGGGACCTGGAAAAAAAGAGCTGGTTAACTACCTCCGAGAAACCAGCCATTGCAAACCCTATGGAGTATAGTTCTAGTCTAACAAATAGGACGGAGTCACTATGAGCAAAGTCAAGTCCATGGTAACTGGCTACCTGGCCTTTGAAGCTCCAAGTAGTGAATTTTGTATTGCTGAAGATCAATAAGTCAGTAAAATGGCCTCGGGGCAGTTGCACAGCTCTCCAATAAAAGGAAAGCCACAGACAAACACCTGCCTGGTGCGAGATGTATGACACAATGGCAACAGTGTTCCCCACAGTTTATAAATGCTAGTGCTTGCTCTTATCACAGCTATTTCTCCACGAAGTATCTTTACTCCTAGAAGTTCATCAGCTGAGGTAGCAGCTCTGGCTGATCTGCATGGTTCCTGATGTTCTGATGTGGTGGAAAGGCCTGAAATGGAGAATCTGAGTCCCTCCCGGATGTACTCATATCCATGGGAGAACCAGTAAGTTTCCATGAACGAATCTGACCTTGAGTTTCCAGATACAGGCTATGGGATGAAGAGATGGAAACTCACAGGTCAGGGAACTCCTGGGGATGGAGACTACAGAAGAAAGTAAGAATAACATAGCCTGGTGCTGGTGAAGAGTATGGAATATTCCTTAGACTGCCAAAAGAACAAACAGGTGTGTCTTGGACGAAATGCAACCAGGGTGCTTCTTAGAGGGAAGGATGGTGAAACCTGGTCTCTCACATACAACTTGCTTTGGACACATTGTCAGCAGGGATCAGTCCTTGGAAAAAGGCATCCTGCTGAGAAAGGTGGAGGGTCAGAGAAAGACAGGAAGACCCTCAACAGGACAGACTGACACAATGACTTTAACAGGGAGCTCAGACATGCCGGAGAGTCTGAGGATGGTACAAGATCAAGGCAAGGTTCAGATCTGTTGTTCCTGGGGTTGCTATGAGTTGTAGATGACTCAATGACACAAAACATCAACAGCACCGATCCTTTAACTCCCCCAAAGGCCCGACTGTCCACTTGGTCCTGCACCCTCTCTGCTCAGCCTTTAAGCCAGAAAGTGACACCTGAGTTTGCCCACTTCCTACACATGCCCTGAACATCTCTCCACACTCCTATTACCCATCACTCACCAAGTACCTACATGCCCAGGCTCTGAAGTGGGCGTTTGCCTCTTTTTAAACTCGTATCTACTCAGTGAGGCCAGCTGAGACAGAACAACCAAGAAGAATGTCTCCTAGATGACTTAGGGACCTCGCTAACCAATAACGGCTTGAAGACAATTCACTAGCAATGCAGTACTCCTCCATTCAGAGAACACTTTGGCAATCCAATGAAATTACCCCATCAGACCAACTAATCAACGAAAAGCAATTAAACTCTTCCCCAGTAATATATGATTGCAATAAAATTGAAATAATGTAAACCAATTGCACAATTTATGCCCAGGTTTCAAACAACAAATACGCTTGATGCGTTTAGTTTTTAAGCGAGTGGTTTGAATTTGTGTGTGCGCTTTCAATAATGATGTTGTGGATTAGTAAAAAATTAAGGTCTGGTTTGGGGGCGGGGCTCAGAGTTTATAATATTCATATTTATTCCTATCTTTGGTCTAAAGTTCAACTTGAGATAAACTCTTGAAAGCTGGTATCAAGTTTAATAATCTCGAGTCCAGTAGGATGCCTGGCACTTGGTAGGTGCTCGACACATGTTTAGCTCATTAAATCAATGACAATATTCCAGGCATACTTTGTTTTATTGTCATTCACCTTGTCATGCTTTTCAGATACTATGTTTTTTCCCACAAACTGTACGTTTCATGTCAAGCTTGTGTAAAGCGGGTCTGTCAGGGTCATTTTTCCAGTAGCTCATTTTGTGTCTCTGTGTCGTATTTTAGTAATTCTCAATTTATTGAAAATTTTCCCATAATGCCTTGCACACTTAATGGACTACAAAACAGAGTGCACATAACTTGTATATGTACTGAAGAATTAAAAAACTCATGCGACCTGCTTTATTGCAATATTTGCTTCATCTGTGGTGATCTGGAACTAAACTTGCAGGATTTCCTAAGTCACAGGCAACTCGACGGCACATAACATCAACAACATACCTTTTTGTAGTTAAGGAGTTATAAGAAGCAGGCCTATATTGATCAGGACTCTTCACTGTAAATTGACATCACTTTGGAGGTCTACTTGTTGAGGGTCCTGTAGCCACCTGCCTATCTACTTTGATTTTTTAAAGTGTTTTTCTATTCTAATTACTCTCTGGAGGTTATAGAGAACCACAACTCAAACGGAACTTATTGTTGTCCAGGTAGAACTAACTGATAGCTGACTCTCCAACAAGTTTCAGAGGCTCTAGATCACATGGGAGGAGAATGCCCCTCTTTCTCCTAGGGATTCAAACCACTTCCTTTTGGGTTGCCAGTGCAATTGCTTACCCACTAGGCCACCCATAGCTCCCCATAACACTGACTAATTGTGGAGGGCTTATAGTACACATCTGGCCCTCTGCTAAACAATTTACATAGCTCATTTTCTTTTATCCTTACAATAGCCTTCTGAGTTATCATATCCATTTTACAGATTAGGAAATGGAGGTTCAGAGAGACAAAGTGTCCTAACTGTGATCACTGAGACAGAAGGTGGCAGTGCAAGGATTTTGACAGGTATTTTTGAACCCCAAGTCCAAACTCCTAACACTACCTCCACACTGACTCCCCTTGACTCCTCGAAACTCTCCTGCAGACCATTTCCTGTGGAACTTAAGAAACATTAGCCATGCTCACTGCACTTTGCTGCTTGATTTCTTGGATTGTGGCTGCTTTGTGAAGTCTTTTCTGGTGTCATCATTTTTTTGTTTGTTCCTCTTGAATACTTTGTTCATCCAATTTGACTCTTCAGCAGGGCTCTCCCTGGAAAGAGAGAAAAGGTGGAACTTGTTAGCAGCCTGTTGTGTGCGATGGTATCACTAGGCAGTGCCGACTGCACTGGGCGACAATATCAGAGGCGGTGACACTAAATATGACCATTTAGAAATTTTTCCTGCAGCATTTCAGAAAAAAAAAGTATTCTTTTTCAAAAAGAAACCCTGGAGTTATTTAAAACAATAAAACTATTTTTTCCATAAACTCAACTTACACGTCTAAATGTACCTGTTGTTATGTGCTATCGAGTCATTTGCGACTCATAGCGACCCTATGTACAACAGCCCTAAACCGTGCTCTATCCTGTGCCAATCTCACTGCCTCTGACAAACCCATCCCAGTCACCCCAGTCACTGAATCAATCCACCTCATAGAGGGTCTTCCCCTCCTGTGCTGTCCCTCCACCCTCCCAAGCATGATGTCCCTCTCCAAGGACCTCTCCCTCCTTACAACATGTCCAAAGTATGTCAGACGAAGCCTCAGAATTCTTGCCTCCAAGGAGCAGCCTGGTTTAAACCTCTCTAGGATGAGTCTGTTTGTTTTCTTAGCAGTCCATGGTACATTCAATACTCTTCTCCAGCACCACAGCTCAAAGGTGTCAATTCTCCTTCTATCCTCCTTAGTCATTGTCCAACTCTCTGATGCATAACAAGTGATTGCAAAGTCAGATACACCTTAGTCTCCAGAGTGACACCATTGCTCTTCAGTACCCTGGAGAGGTCCCTAACAGCAGACTTTCCCATCGCAATACATTTTAAATGTACCTACAAGGCTAAATATTTGTTAATTAAAAAAAAAAATCTTTGAGCCCTGATGGCATAGTGTGGCTAAGTGGAAGGTCAGTGGTGCAAATCCACCAGCTGCTCCCTGAGAGAAAGACACAATCTCCTCCTGTAAAGATTCACGGCCTGGGAAACCTGATGTGGGTGTTGCCATGAAGTGGAATTGACTCAGTGGCAGTGAGTACTGTGCTCCGGTCAGAGCTGTCATTGTTACCCAGTCATAGCGCTGTCGTTATCACCCAGTCATAGTGCTGTCTTGGGCCACAGGGTTTCATTCACACCTGCTACAAGCACACACTGTCGTTTCTATTGCTGCTAATGTTTTTATGTTGTTGTTGCTGTTATGTGCCATCGAGTCGCTTGTGACCCATAGCGATCCTATGTACAACAGCCCTAAACTCTGCTCTATCCTGTGCCCATCACACTGTCTCCAATTCTACCTGTTTCCTGGTACTTTCGTTACCCTGCTGTAATAAGTAGTGCTGGTGAATCTTTATCTACAACTTTTTGAGAATAAAGTGGTAATTAAAAGTTAAAAAAGGTGAAAAAACAGGAAAAGATATCTGCTTGGTTACTAATAATGCAACTGACTCGTAAATCAATATTTTTACAAAATGGTTAGGTTAGTATTCTTTATCAACTTGAATCAACTCATTGTTGTTGAGAAGAATTGACTCATAGCTGACCCTCCAGTGGGTTTTGGGAGGCTGGCTATAAGTTGTGGGGAGAAGGTCCGTCTCTCTCCTACAGAGCCACTGGTGGATTTGAACCTGAGAGAAGGGCTGCCTTTCCATTTTAGTGGTACAATCCCACATTATATTTAAGCCATATGCAACTGTATTTATCACATATTGTTCAATGATTAATATTGATAATAATGTATGGCCCAATAGTTCTAGTGACCTAGTGGTAAGAATCTGTACTGCAAACCCAGAAGCATGAGGTTCAAATCCACCAGCTGTTCCAAAAGAGAAGGATGGGCAATATCCTCTCATGTCATTAAACTGCCTCTGAAAACTCACTGGAGGGTCAGCTATGGGTTGGTTCTGACTCAATGACATACAACAACAGTAGGGGACTAGGTCAGGAATGAGGGTGCGTTACCACACTGGATGATCCCACGAATCCTGTGTCTAGATCCAGGGCCTTGCTTCAGCTCAGAAGGCAGGTTCACCAGCGTGATGGTGCTCAACCCTGATGGAGCCTCAGAGTTCCCCAGGGAAAATGGTGTTATACTCAATGAATATTTATCTAAGTAGCATCACGCCAACTAATCAAGCAAAACACACTCATATTTTTATAAACTAATCTGTAAATGCAACAAATTTTAAATTACATGCATAAAATGCATAATTTAGACTTCTAATTACTAAAGGCTTATTCCCTTACAAAAAGTTTTATCATGAGGTTTGTACTTAATGAGAGAAGCAGGTAAGTGTGTTTCAATAGATTATATGAGATACAGTGGAGACATCAAACGTCAGAGAGTCTCAGGTTTTGTTCTAACCATGACCTTGAAGATACCCAGCCACTATTAGAATTGGCCCAAGACAGGAAGGATAGAGCTAGGAGGAGAAATACACCAAATTTCTTCTTGTCCAACCCTCTTGTCTCCGGCTGGAGCTTTCCTCTGGCTAACTTAATCCACATCCAGCCAGAAAGAGAACGTGGGTAACAGTCCACAAGGATTTAAGAAAAATATCAAACTCTAGGCACTTTTATTATTACAGCCTCAGATAATCTATTACAGAAATTGTTTTCTAGGGAATGCTCTCCTTATCATATTGTTAGGAGCCATGGTTGTGATTAATACTCAGCTGATAACCAAAAAGTTGGTTATCAAACTCATCAGCTACTCCACAGATAAAATATGTGACAGTTTGCCTCCATAAAAATAGCTGTTGTTAGGGGTTTAGTCTGCGTGTTTCCTATTGCCAAAGGAGCCCTTTGGAGTAGTGACAGAAGATCTTCACCCTGAAACTTACAGAGTCCCTTTTTAGCAGGAAGTAGCTAAGAGAATATGCCATCCCCTTTTCCTTATGAATCAGGGTGAAGTCTCTCTCAGGGAGGAGTGATAGGGAATGGCAAAGGACACACTGACAAAGGAGATTAATCAGAACTGGCTTCGACAAGCACTGTGGCAATTGGACAATTAAAACAGACTTTCAAGGGGGGAAAAAAAGAAGCACGAACTGGGGAGGAGGGTCGAGAAAATAGTGCAACAATGAATGAATGGAAACCCAAATATCTGTAAATGTTCATCAAAATTAATAAAATTTAACTAAAAAAATAGTTGTTGTTATGGCTGTCGAGTCAGAGCCGACTCATAGCTGAGACTTAAGAGGGTTTTCAGAGGCTGTAAATCACATAGGAGATTTCTAGTGTTTCTCCTGTGGAGGAGCTGGTGGATTTGAACCTGCTGCTTTTAGGTTGGCAGTGCAACTCCTTACTGCAAGGCCACTAGAGCTCCCTTTTGTGAAGATTATGGCCTTGGAAACCCTACGAGATGGTCCTGTAGGGTTGCTATGAGACAGAATTAACTTGATAGCAAGGGAGTTTGATTTTTCTTTTAATTAAAATTCTTTTATATTTTTTAAAAAAATTATTCATTGTTACACATTTCCTCCCATCTCCCTCCCCCATCATCTTTGTTTTAAAATTATACTGACAAAAAATCATTTTAACTCAAAGAAGCCTTTATTAGTGCTAGATTCTGGGTGCCACAAAATGTTAACTACTAATGGAAAAGTTAGTGGTTCAAGCCACCCAGAGGCACCTTAGATCAAAGACCTGTATTTTGCTTCTGAAAAGAGACAGCCTTAAAAGCCGTCTGGAGCGCAGTTCTGCCAGGAGTCCGGGTCTGTTCAGCAACAGCCGGGTTTTGATCACTCACTAACTCACTGCCATTGTGTCCAAAGGACTCTGGCAGGTTTCCCTCAGTGGTAACGCACTGAGAAGGAGATTGGCCATCTTTATCCCTCAGAGTTTCCGGTGGCTTAAAACCAGCGGCCTTTAGGTGAGCAGTGCAGGACTATGCCTCCAGAGCTCCCCTCCTATGGATTTGTTGTTGGATACCATCAAATTGGAACCGACCCATAGCTGACCTTCTCTGTGGGTTTTCAGACGCAGTTAATCGCATGGGAGGAGACTGACTATATTTTTCCTGCAGAGCAGCTGGTGGATTTGAACCAGGTGTCTTTGGCATTGCAGTGCAGCTTCTTGCCACTAGGCTACCAGAGCTCCCTATGGGCTAAGGCCACCTCGAGTCATATATTGCTGAGGATGTGGAATGCCTGATAATTCTTTTGAACTACAAGTGAGATATGAAAGAGAAACAGAAAGAGGGTGCACATTTGCCACTGAGATTAAAGGAGATGCACTCCTCCGTGTGTAAGGGAGGGACTGGAATAGAATGACACTGTCAATATGAATGAGTTCAGCTACCACATTTTCCCTCACTAATGTATTGGGGGGCGGGGGTGGCCTGTGCTGTGCAGTATGAAAGGGTGGATAGTAATCACACAAAGTCTATGACCCCACTTTCCCAAAAGCAGAAAAAAGATGGAAAATATCACTCAGTGGGACCACTCCCTCAACCCTGAATCCTTGCTCCTAATTCTGACCAAAGAAACATGAGTTCTCAGTGAAGAAGACACTTACGTCACACAAGGCTTGCTGACAGTTTCCTTCACATTAAGCAGAGGTGCAGCACTTTCTGGATTTGAAGCATCAAGGGGAGCTATATATAGCCAAAAACAAAATTATAGGAGAAAGGAGTGAGATGGGGTGGAGGAATACTTAAGTTACTCTTGAAATAAGAGTACTTAATAACTGTAAAGAACCCTCTTGTTCTCAAATTCTCATGCTTTGGACTAGAACCAGGTCATTGGATTTGATCAAGATCAAGTCAACAGTATTTGAGGGAGGGCTGATACTAAGCCTTGATATAATTTTATCAACAATTCCCTCTCAAAAAATTGTCATGTCAGGACCACTTTTCAGGAAAATAGGAATGTGAACCTTTCAATCAACTGTATGCATAATAATATTTTTATTGCTTTATGAACATTATTCCTAAACAATACCTTTGCATGTTTTCAGTGAACATGGTGATACATTATAGAGGAAGATTAATATGTATTTACATAAAAAACATAATACAGACTATATTTGGATTCTCCTACCTGAAGTTTTTTTAATCTGCTGGATGACCCTGTTATTCTTCTTATGTGCCATCAAGTCAACCACAACTCAGAGCGACTGCATGAAAAACAGATCTTGCCCTACTCTGCACCATACGAATGCATGATCTCAGATATGCTGGAGCCCATTGTTAGAATTTGTATCACTATGTCTTATTGAGAGTCTTCCTCTCTTTATATGACCCGTCCTGTTGTTGTTGTAGATGCCATTGAGTCAACTACGACTTACAGTGACTCTATGAACAGCAGATCTGAATGTTGCTCTGTCCTGCACTATCCTCAAAAATCTCTGAGATGCTGGAACTCATTGTTAGAGTCACTGTGTCAATCCTCTCATTCTCTGACCCTCCACCTTCTCCAGCATGATGTCCTTTTTAAAAACTGGCCCTTCCTGACAACATGCCCAAAGTATGTGAGAAGTTTCTTGATTCTTGCCTGTAAGGAGAACCCTGATTACACTTCCTCCAAGACAGACCTGTTTGTTCTTTTGGCAGTCCACGGAATATTCTGTAGCCTTCTCCAGTACCACCACTCAAAGGCATTGATGCTTTTTCTGTCATCCTTACTCATGTTCAACTTTCAGATATATAGGAAGTAATTGAAAAGACTATCGTTTGGGTCAGGCATGCCTTAATCTTTAAATTGACACTGTTGCTCTTAAGCGCTTTGGAGAGGTCTTTGAGAGCAGATTTTCCCCAAAGCAACACATATTTTGATTTCTTGACTGTTATCCTGAGTATTAGTTGTGGATCCAAGTAAAATGAAATCATTGACGACTTCAATGTAAACTAGTAACACACACTTTAGAGACTAGCATCAGCCCAGGGACCACTGTTAGGCAGCACAACCCCTGTACACTGGCTTTCACAGCCATACATTCAATACACCCATGGAAATATCAGTCACAAAATCAAATGATATGTTGCAGTGAGAGGCCAAGGATCTCTGTAAAGTGGCAAAAACAAGGCTTTCATTTAGAAGACTAAGATAAGTCTGACATAAGCCATGATATTTTTAATTGCCTTATATGCACAAAAATTAAGGAAGAGCTCATCAACAAACTAATGGATAGAGAAACCGTGGTATATTCACACAATGGAATACTATGCTGCATCAAAAAACAAGGAACTCATGAAATATTATGCAAATTGGGTGACCCTGGAGGACATTATACTGAGTGAAATGTTTCAGTCACAAAAGGACAAATATTGCATAGGGCCACATTGTAAAACAGGACTGACATCAGGGTTGAGGGAAGACAGAAAAGGAGGGGAGGA